TGTTGTTTGAAATATAGATTTGAATTTTAGCATAATACAGTATCTCATTTATTTAGTCCTAATAACATTATCTTCTTCTACCTGGGAATTTCCCAGCTTTAGCCAGGGTCTGCCTTACATGTTGTGAATAGTTTTGGCTAATTGTTTTTACGACCGGCCGGCTGACTGACATCAACCCTCTTTGGGAATGCATTAATCAGTGATGTCTAAATACTCTTAAAAAGTACATATGACTCGGAAAAATCACATTGGTATTTGTCAAGGCCAGGATTATTAGTCCTAATAACAATATTGAAGCGAAAAAATCTTGTTTTGTTTACATATTTAAGGTAACTTGGAAGTCATAATATAATATTTTATCATTTTATTTCAAGTTATTGACGATAGATGTCGCTGACGGTTGCTTAATATATTTATTATATATACATATTATCAATTTCTCCTTAAACAGCATAATTAAGTTAAAATTTAAGGAAAGTAGTCGTATGTAATATATATAAATATAATTATAATCCGTGGACTCCATGTCAGTACCGGACTCCAGATTGAAAATCTCAAACAAATCAGCGACTCATAAAATCTGTACAAACGAATTCACCAATCGATTAATCTCCTGTGTTCGCGGTTAATTCTATGACCCTTACCCTCCTCTGTACCACGACACCAAAATAAAAACCTGAATAAATTCCAAACTCCTCACAACAATATAAAATGAAAGAGACGGAGTCATGATATCGTTTCTGTGTCGTGTATTCAGATCCCTGGTAGCGGCTCTCACACCCTCATGGAGGGTAAAACTTGAAGCACTTTGTCACGGATTAGTGTTCCGTATATTTGCCGGAAGTGACGAACTGATTGACTTGCTGTGGTCAATGCAAACACTATGTGCCGATATTAGACACTTAATAGATATTATATTTGCCTTAGGAATGTACTCGTACGTACAAGTATAGCTGTGAGAACTTGTCACTTAATGGACAATTCTTAGTCAAATCCATATTTAAGTTTTTTAGAATTAAACATACATACGACGTTTCGTTCTGTTATTCTAACAAAATATATATAATATACATTTCTTTGGTCAGTCTATCAGAGCCCACTGCTGAGCTAAGCCTCTTCTCACATGGAGAAGGTTTGAGCATTAATCACCACGCTTGCTCAAGACGGGTTGGTGATTTCAAACTTATAATTGTGAAATTATAAGTCCAGGTTTCCTCACGATGTTTTCCTTCACCGCCTGTCAATTTTTTTTGTTTATTAATTATTTTTTTATCCAAACAAGCATATTGACTATAGTTCTTGATACTTATAATAACGGTGTCGTTGTGTTAATATTGTTAAAATGCGCAACTGTTTCCGACGTCTCCATTACTAAGACAATGGCCCTCACAACCCTCAGCCCTCAACCCTCAACCCTCAACCCTCACTTCAAGTGTTATGTTTTAAACTGTATTGTAGTAAGCGTATGTTTGTTTTGTTCTGTTTACAGAACTTAATGTTTTATTGAACGTACTAATATCTTTTATTCACTCCTAAGAATGCTCAAGAGTCACTTAAATTTTTTTATATTTTTTAATTTCTTCGTTTTTATGATTGTTATGTTTGATAGATTTATTATGATTTTAATAGGTATATAATTATATAATTTTGTTATATATTTTATTTCATATTCCCGTGTTCACTTTGGCTTAAAATAACCTTAATTTTGGAATGATAAGTAAAAAAGTCAAAAATCAAACAATTTTCATCAAATGACACACTGAAAATTCTTTCATAACTGTTACGATTTGATCAAGATGTTAACTATAATTTATAATATTTTTAACCAAAGATTATTAATTTTTGCAAAAACAGAAATTTAATACTTACATTTCAATTTCCACAAATCTGACACAATAGCACTCCGTAAATCATTTGAACAGATTTTTTATTTATTAATATATAAATAATTAACGCATCCCAACTAGTGTTAGCCGAGAATAATTACACGATATATATTTCAAGAAACTAATTAGTACAGACGCAGAATATAAATATATGATGAGGTCAAGACAACACCAAATTATATTTTGACATCCTTTTTGATGCTAGGACTTATCAGAATCATCATTCCTATCCGCTCTAACATTCACAATATCATATTTGATAAACAGAGATGGAAGATTTTATTAAAATTGTATAGTTTGCCTCGTATTTAATATTCAAGAACCATCCTAAAATCTCCGCAATCTCAAATGGACGGTGCTCTATCACGTGACAAATGAATTGATAGCATTTGATCGCCATCTAGATTATTATAAATTATTATATTTCCATCAAAATATAATTAAATTATTTATTTTTATTGTATTTATTTCATACTAGTTTTTGCCCGCGACTTCGTCCGCGTTAGTTTGGTCAAGAGTAATATATGTATAGCTGACTGACTCTATTCCGTCTTAGAGGCCATAAATAATCAGGTTTTTCCTGTTTCAATCAAACACAATGATTGACATATTAGTTAGTTGTCAAATCTAATGGCAAAAAAAACGTTTGTATGGGAAATAGAAAAGGGCTGTTTTTAGGGTTTTCCCGGCAATTCTTCCAATTTTTTTTACCTTTTAAACCTTCCCTGGACTTCCAGGAGTATTTCAAGACTAAAATTAGCCAAATCGGTTCAGCCGTTCTCGAGTTTTAGCGAGACTAAGGAACAGCAATCCATTTTTATACATATATATAGAAGATAAAAACTATACAAAACATTAATTAAAATATTCTAAACATAACAAAGATATATATTATGTGTATCTTGTTATCCATCAATTGTTATCAATTTAAATGTATCAAACTATTAAGTCGTATACGTAATAGGGTCTTTGAAGGTGAGATTCGTGAAAGTAGAATTAAATTTCCTCCCCTGGAGATGACAGCTTCACTAAAAGACCACTTTTGATCTGACCCGTGTAGGATAAACGATGGTTTAAAAAAACTGATTTAGTTGAAGCACTATTTGGCAGTCGTTTACTATATTTTCTTCTACCTGGCAATTTCCCAGCTTTAGCCAGGGTCTGCCTTATATTGTGAATAGTTTTTACGACCGGCCGCCTGCTTGACATCAACCCTCTTTGGGAATAGTCGTTTACTATATATGTATATAATTAATGAGATCTAAGACTTTCGCGTGTATTTTTAATATAATATTTTTCGGATATACTTTTATCTTGGAACTTTTTGTCTGTAGTTTTTTTTTACGAAAATAAAGCAAATATTAGTTTCATTTAATTTATATATTCAACCATATTAAACTACACTTAAACTCACAACAATTTAAAGAATTCTTAATCTACAATATTTTTAATTTAGGTAATTCTCTTTTAATTTCTATAGTCATTCTTACTTACTTCATCAAAGTCATCTCAATATACATATTTTTTTTCTTAATGTTAACTAATACTTTGTTATGTATATTATTATCATTCGAATATAGATTGTGTGTTATTTTAAATTGAATTTCGGTTATTCGATTCGTTCAATAACCGAATTTAACGACTGCACCATCCGTATGACCGGTGACCCGCTGTGCCCTGACGTATATTGACTGACCACTCATAGCTGGGGTGAACACATTGACTGACGTTTCTTATAATAATTTCTGACAATAACGTATTTATTGTATTGAGAGTGTAACATTTTATACTAATGCGTGTAATTTTTATTCGTTTTAGGGGAAAAAATAGAAATATTATGATTGTTTTGTAAATAATTAAGGTAATCTTCTGACGTTGTTAAGATTTTGTTTATTGTATCGCTTTCTACGTTCAGATTGTAAAAATGCATTAAGAATAATTATCATTAATATTTATTAAATTTAATTAAGATCAATAAAAGTTTTAGGATTTAATGGAAGCTACAAAATATTATACTAAATCTTTTAAGATGTACTGGTAAGCAAATTTTTATCTAAATTGATTTTTGTTTAGTAATAATTGCATTACTACTAAATGATCTTATACTTGTTCGACCACTTTTGATTAAACAGTTGTATATTTCATATAAGTCAAACATTTTAAATTTTTAATTGAATAGACGTCATTACAATAAAATAATTTCAAGTCTACTGATATTTAAATTACATATTAAAATACATACAGCCAATGTTTAATTATGTCAATGTCAAATAAAATGATTTTAAGATGTCAAAAATGTCAACGTCAAAAAACAATAAATTTTTTATATATTTGTACTAAAAAAACTATTAAAAATCGTTGTTAGCTTAATCAAGTAGATATTATTGTACCTAAAAATCACTGTTTCTTTAATTATAAGTATTTGATATGTACTGAACACAATTTAAACTATAATTAAGTTATATAATGAACCTATATTTGACTCCGTCTTCATAGGCTATACTATACAATAAATTATTCGATCACAACTATTCTTTATATTTATGTAATTTGAGAATATGTTTTATTATGCAAATAATTAGAAGCGCCTAACTGGGAGCTTTATTTAATAATCTTCTAGAAATGTAAGGTATAGTCGCCAAATTTCGTCCCCAAGCCTAATTTCGTCCCCATCGGTTTCTTTTTTTCTAAGTAATGACATCTAGTTTTAATAGTTGAAATCTAAAGTTACTTACGTCAGTCGGCCACTGTAAAACTTTGGCGGTGGAATATAACTCCTGTCTGGAGATATTTAAAAAAAGAAAAAACTGTTCAAGGTGAGTTTTTGAATGAAATATTTTATGTAATGTCTAAATATAGATCTGTTTGACTTATTAAAACGAAATATTTGTCAAAAAGTGTTCTTAACGCTTAGATTTAAATCGATTATAATTTTATTTAGATTATGACATGCGTTTCTTGGTTAATGGAGGTTAACAATAAAATTGGCAAATTCCTAATATCGTCCCCTATCGTGATCTAAATACCGTCCCGGGGACGATATTTAGATCACTTCGTCATTCACTGTCGTGCACTTTTTGTGAGTATTTTTATATTTATTTATTTTATTTGTAGATGCCAAAGAGAAGGTTATGGGATCCCGAAGCAATGAAACAAGCTATTGAAGCTGTACGAACTAAAAAAATGGGGTATAAAAAGGCAGTTAAATTATTTAATGTGCCAAGAGCTACTTTGAAAGATTATGTAAAAAAGTCTGACAAGCCTATAGAAGATATAGTTTCTGGAAAAATGGGAAGAAAACCAGTTTTGTCACCTGCTTTAGAAGAAGAGTTGGTGAACTATTGCTTGCAAATGGAAAATAATTACTATGGTTTGACCGCTTCTGATTTAAAACGAATGGCTTTTCAATTGGCTATCAGAAATAATATTCCACACCCATTTTCACAAACCAAAATTAAAAGGTCCCGAGTACAAAGACACACTACAAACTAAAAATATATGTATAATATATAGAAATGATACAAATGACTGTGTTACCATATAGAGGCTATTAACTTAGATTGTTAGAGTAATTGTTATGGTAGTATTATTAATTAAAAAAAATACATTTTTAAACATTATCTCAAGAGTTTCTTAATATTTAATTTGTGCAATTCAATCTCTGAGACGCGAAAAGCTAGGCTCAATCGGATAGAAGCCAACAATTATAATAAATACATTTCGCTACATCTGATAAATGAAACGTCGTATAGAGAATATAAATCACAAATAAAACATATGTAGCTACAAGATCACAATTACTGTGAGCGGTGATACAAACGGATCATGAGACAGAAGCAGCCGTTTGACATACACCGAGCCGCCGACATCTAGCCTAGCCGGCTACATCTGATAGCCGTATACTGGACGGCTAGAAATATAATCACAGCTAAAACATTATAGATTTGTATGTGTGAAATATAATTACTTTACCTTTTTTTATGAAATCCCTACTAATATTATAAATGCCAAAATAACTCTGTCTGTCTGTTACGTTTTCACGCCTAAACCACTGAACTGATTTTAATGAAATTTGGCACAGAGATAGAGTTGACCTTGAGAAAGAACATAGGATAGTTTTTATCCCAGACTTCTGAAAGGTTCTCTTGGAAACGCGATATAACCGAACCCCATTCGGGCGATACCGCGGGCGGAAAGTTAGTGTTAAATAAATTTAATATATAGTCTAAGAGTTAAATTTTATTAATAAAATAATGTTAGCAAAACGTATTTGTGGTTTTACAATTGAAATATCCTAACCTCTTGCGCCGCTCGAAGGTTCGCGACGGATCATTAAGGCTCTCACGGCACCGTTATTTAAATTAAGGGTTTTATTTTCATAATTCAGTTTATTCGTGTACAAATATTTTAATCAGATTTTAAACAGCAATAAGGTTGTATGCAATACAACAATATAGATATATATTTTTCGAATTACATTATGACGCCAAAAGGCTGTTTTTTTACGTTAATTAGTAATATAAATTATGATTTATTTTAGTTAAGAATAGGAAGTGCTTCTAAATGAAATGACACGGCTTACTTATATCTATTATAAATGTCAAATTTATATTTATTTCTTTCAGTATTAAAAAAAAATATATATATATTTTATTTATTTATTAACACCAACAAGACATTCATTAATAAAATCGAAAAATATTGAATAAGTACCTAATTATAAAATCAAAATGTTGTCTTAATTATAGGTGTTACACACATGCAGATAAAATTATATTACTAATAATAATCATCAACATTAAAATTGAAATAATAATTGAATTGAATTTATTAAAGATAAGAGATAAATACAAATGATATATTTTCGCATACACGGTACTTGTATCGAAATAATTGAGAGATTATTAATTGGTGGAATAATATTTAAACCTTAAATATAAAAAGTCTTTTCGATTTCTGCTTAAACAGTAGTAGATTTTATTAATATTCCATTTCTTCATTTTGTTGTAGGTATATATTTTTTCTGCATTTACTATATCTTACAAAAACGAGCATAACTGTAGTCAATAGAACGATTGATTAATAAAGTTAGCATCAAAACTTTGTACTCTCACTTTTTGATTTTAAAATATATTGCAGACAGAAATTTACTTTAACTCTTTTTTTGTAAAAGCTGATTTTATGAGAGCTCTCTTTTTTAATAAAATATATATGTACATATAGGGGAGAGTCGGATATATCGTACCACTTTTCACTTTAACTCAAATATTTCGACTATAACACGTCTTATAATAATTAATACATATGTAAAATAAAGTTTCATATTTTAGCTTCCTAAGAAGAAGAGAACAGATCCTTGCGATTATTCTAACATTGTTAAAAATGCTTTTTTATAGAGGCTTGCCATCTGTACGATTTAGCCGACTCGTCGTTTTAATCGTACCACTAAGTCTTTAAATCGTACCATGGGTGTGTAAGTCGTACCACTGAATGAAAGACATTAAAATTCGCAATCAAATTATTTATTTTTGACTGTTAGGTAAGTAATAAAACAACATTATTCATATCTTTTAGGTAATAGAAACATAATTTTTAACTCTTAGGTTATATAAAGGAACTATAGCTTTCTCAGTAAAATAACATGATTATACTATGATAATGAGGTCAATCAACATAACTAATAAAAATGAGACAAAAAAAAACAGTAAACTATATTAATAAAGTAACAGTTAACAAGAATGTTATTTGTAATATAATTATTGTGCATATTTCTTAATGGAAACAATCATGACAAATGTTTTCAAAAATTCGAAGTACACGTCTCATGTAGCCACCGTTTACAGCGAACGCATTGAATCGAATCAACTTTTGGACCCTTCTTATCGTAGTAAGAACAATTGCACTTTCGACATATATTTTCAAGATAATCATCGCTGTCATCATCATCATCTAGTTCTACAACAAGTGTCTCTCCTGAATCATCGCTACTGGTGATGGAATGAGATCGTTTCCTCTTATAACTTTTGTTTTTGGCCTTGGGTAGTACTTACTATACGTACTTGCGGTAGTACTATAGGTACTTGCGGTTGGTAGTCGGGTAAATCGTACCAGTACAATTTAACCAACTGCAAGTGGTACGATTAAACCAACTAAGGCATTTCTAAAACAAAAGCAAATATCCGGCATAAACTCAAAACTTAGACATGCAACAAAAACCCCCAATAATCTAGTATACAATTGTGGAATAATAAAAAAAAATGAATAACTATAGCTAACCTTGATTACGAGTTATCTCCTTACGAATGTACGACAATATTTATATTAATTCCTACAAAAAATGATTTTTTTTATTACGTGCACAGTTGTTAACTCACGTCGATGTAAACTAGTGGGTGAAGAGGGATGGTACAGGGCCACGATTTTTCGTTGTCAATGTAATAAAAAAATATTCATTAAATGGGAAATTAAGAGGTGGTACGATTTAAATACTAGTACGATATAACCAACTCTCCCCTATATATTTTATAATAAAAAATATACATTCATACATATTATCAATACATATATTATATAGTTAATATTTTATGTACTACATTAATTTTTAACAGCAAGAAAAGTTGGCAATATCTTATCAAATGTTATTGTATCACACATAATTCATAGAGTTATAAATAACTAATTTATATACGGAGTTTAATATCAGCGGCCGGTGTTCAGTTATTGATTCGTAACAACAAAACAAACACACAACTAAATGGAAGCGGTGCGGATTGAGCTGTAACCGGGGCCGAGTGTGGCGCAAGTTAATAACTATATATGTATACAAGAACAAAGATTATATCTAAGGTAGTTAAAAATATATATAAATTTGTTAAAATTACAACAGATATAAAATTAATATCAAAATTAAAATACAGATTATATAAACGACAAAAAACTGTCAATACTTGACATGCAGATTAAATTCGTTTTAATAAAAAATCTAAGCGACATTGGCAGAATACTGTTCAGATCTTTGCATGGATGAACGCCACATTAAAAATAACCAATTAATCAAAAAAATTGAAGTCAAAATAAATGATAATCATTGTGTGTTTTAAACGCTGTCTCGTTTGCCAGAGGCCGCATACAAGAACTAGCGGTGTCGGTATATCAAGTCCGCGTAACAGCGGCGCCTGGGCAGGCGGATTTATGGCCGCAGTAACCTTTAATTTGGACATAATTTAATTTGAACACGCCCGCCCTCTTAATTATGATATCTCCTGAGCTCTGCATAACCTGACTTACGAGCCAGCAGAGACAAAGATATCACGATAGTATATATACCAGATGCATTCAACATTTCTCGGAACTGGATTTTTTTATGAGTGGATTTAATCAAATTTAATATGAACATGAACGTTCTGCCTTCAACACTTGGAGTGCAATAATTTTCCTGTCTGTCATATTATTTCTCACAGGAAATTATAATCTGAATACAATTCGCCCGGCCCTTTCTCCGTCGCGTGCGAAATCGAAAAGTTAATTTGTCAAAGTAATCTTTGGTCGTATTGCATGTCGCGTGAAATTCATAATTAAGAGAGACTCGGAACAGATTAATACGTGTTGGCTGGATCGGGACTTGAGGAAAACTTTGTCAACTTTACAGTAAGTTGAATATATCTACAACTATTTTGCGTAATAAGGTTTCGTATTATTAAATAATAGATTCAGTGAATTCTTATAGGTATTATAACAATTTTTTTGCCTCCACCTTCGTCCATATAGATATATTAACGAGACTAAAATAGAAATGTAAAAAATGTGTTAAAACAATTGATATGGTAACCATTTAAAAATGACATTCACAGTCTTAGTCAGGATAGGTATGTACTATAAGAAATTTTGGGATAAATAACAGTCTATATATTATTCTGATGTTTAAACTACATAACAAATAAGTTTATTCAAAATCCATTTAGCTATTTTTGCGTAAAAGAGCAACAAACAAAATTTCATATCTAATAGAAGTAAGTAAGATTTTGATAGGTTGTCATATAATTCCTTAAGTCCACATCAAATTATTGTATATTTGAAATCCTACTAACCTATATCTAGAATCTATAACATAAATGTCTCACAAATATCAAAGATACCAAAACTGTTTACTATTTAATATTTTATTAAAACGTATCAAAAAAAGTCCTTATAGTTCAAACAGGGATTGTAGTATTAAATATACTCAAACTCATTGAGCATCAAGGGTCATGATTGTTAAAGAGTCAAGTTTTTCAACCTTAAATACTCTCTGAGATCGCTATCGCGCTGTGTCCGTCCCGGCCAGAATCCAAGCACATTAATTAATTAACAGCCCATTATCTCGCTGCTTATTATCTGTTCGGGATTCGGTCTTTTCTTAACACCGCTCATTGTTATCACTGACCATCGCAAAAACAGCTATCGCGCCGCCAAAAGCTGATACTAACATTTCTGCAAAAGAATCTGAAGGAAGG